GACTTAAAGAAGAAGAAGCCAATCTTGGTTGTGGAGTCCAAGTCCAAGTCTGAGTCAGCCCTCCACTGTCTGAGTACCCTCTGTCGTGATGTGAAAGTGGTGGATCATCAGGTAGTTTCATATGTTTTTACATGTTTACACAAGTTTTAACAAGAGGTGAATACACCTAATATGTTTTTTTTTTCTTCTTCTTATTCTTCCTACAGTCCAAAGCTTCATCATCCGCCACCAAAGTGGACCCCAAACTTGAAAAGAAGTTTCATCATGTAGTTTCACATGTTTTTACATGTTTGCACAAGTTTCAACAAGTGGTGGATACACCTAATATGTTTTTTATTTTATCTTCTTCTTATTCTTCCTACAGTTCAAAGCTTCATCATCCACTAAAGTGGACCCCAAACTTGGAAAGAAGAGGAGGATTGATGATGTCAAACAGCCGCTCTTGCATTCACTAGAACCAGAACCAGAGCCGCAGCCCCGGCTTAAAGAAATCGGCATCTTCGGCTCAACGAGGATGGAACCGTCGGAAATGCGGCTTGTGGAGACTCTCACCCGCGGTTTACTGTCGAAGGTGAGTTTCCTCCAAAACAAATTATGAATACTGTTAAACATTAACATCCACCAAGTCTTATACTGTTAAACCAATTGCGTATTCTTCTCTTCAAATAAATATAAACTTTGTTTCTATGTCAAAGTTTTAACAGTCTAATTCCAAGTCCTTCCTAATACACCAACACTAACTATACCTAACCCCTTCACACATAAACTAACAAATACCATGTTTTGAGTAGTTCCTTCATATTATTTCTTTGTATACATTTGTCTAATTATTTGCACTCGCCTAACTTTTGTAGGGATTCCACATTGTCACGATGTCGCGAGAAAAGGGGACGTGCAAGGCTGTGAAGAGAGGATCGGCAAAGGCACACTGCACGGTTCTTCCCCACGAGAGAGACGTTGTTGCGCGGGTGCAACAGCTTGTTGCATTTGCATACCGCAACATAATGCAAAAAGTAAACAACTAGATTCTGGTGATATTCAAACAAAAATCAGTCCAAGTAGAAAACAAAGGCTCCATTTCCCTCCGACTTGGCATTTGCACATGCTTCCAGCACTTGTCACCTTAAAAAGAAACAAGCCAAATACAAGACATAGTAAAAAGAAAATAGATTTCTATTCAATTGTGCAGTTCAAGATGAACCAACAAAATGCTAAAAATAAACAGCTAGATTTTGGTGATATTCAAACAAAAATCTAGATTCTAGATTTCTATTCATCTAACTGTTTATTTTTAGCATTTTGTTGGTTCATATCGAACTGCACAATTGAATAGAAATCTATTTTCTTTTATTGTGTCTTGTATTTGGCTTGTTTCATTTTAAGGTGACAAGTGCTGGAAGCATGTGCAAATGCCAAGTTGGAGGGAAAGGAAGCCTTTGTTTTCTACTTGGACTGATTTTTGTTTGAATATCACCAGAATCTAGTTGTTTATTTTTTGCATTATGTTGCGGTATGCAAATGCAACAAGCTGTTGCACCCGCGCAACAACGTCTCTCTCGTGGGGAAGAACCGTGCAGTGTGCCTTTGCCGATCCTCTCTTCACAGCCTTGCACGTCCCCTTTTCTCGCGACATCGTGACAATGTGGAATCCCTACAAAAGTTAGGCGAGTGCAAATAATTAGACAAATGTATACAAAGAAATAATATGAAGGAACTACTCAAAACATGGTATTTGTTAGTTTATGTGTGAAGGGGTTAGGTATAGTTGGTGTATTAGGAAGGACTTGGAATTAGACTATTAAAACTTTGAAGTAGAAACAAAGTTTATATTTATTTGAAGAGAAGAATACACAATCAGTTTAACAGTATAGGACTTAGTGGATGTTAATGTTTAACAATATTCATAATTGGTTTTGGAGGAAACTCACCTCCGACAGTAAACCGCAGGTGAGAGTCTCCACAAGCCGTATTTTCGACAGTTCCATCCTCGTTGAACCGAAGATGCCGATTTCTTTAAGCCCGAGCTGCGGCTCTGGTTCTGGTTCTGGTGAATGCAGGAGCGACTGTTTGACATCATCAATCCTCCTCTTCTTTCCAAGTTTGGGGTCCACTTTGGTCGATGATAAAGCTTTGGACTGTAGGAAGAATAAGAAGAAGATAAAATAAAAAAACATATTAGGTGTATCCACCACTTGTTGAAACATATTAGGTGATCATGCCTAAATTGCAAGCCGAAAACCGGCCAAATTTCAAGCGATAAAACGAGTTACAAAACTCATAAATCGATCCTAAATAATGCAGACATCAGCTAGAACACATTGAGAGAATGAAAAAGCATACCTATATCGAAGAATTTGGTGGCCAGAAACAAGCTCCTTGAAGTTATGGGTAAAATCGATAACTTTTTGGTATTTTCCGGTGAAATACGACTGTTGTGGTGGAGGCTGAGGGTTGGGGTAGGAAGAGGACGACTAGCCAGTCATTTTGGGACTGGTCCCGCCTCAAGTGATGGTCGGAGGTGACGGCGGCAAGCAAGAATCCAAAAGGGGGCTGCTGTCGCACGGGTGAGGGGGAGAGAGAGAAATCTGATTTTTAAAAACCCAATTAGAAATATTTACGGTTATGTCACTGGGCTTCCGTAGATCATAACTTCTTCGTTACAACTTCGATTTGAGCCCACTACGTGTCTACGGACTCATCTTGACGTGCTCTACGCAACGGTACTGCTAAAATTCCCAAATTCCTGTCCAAACAAATAGTCAACTTTAAACCTATTAAAATATTCCCGGAGTAAAATCGTCTTTTATTTGAATAAATTAATAATTAGGAAGGCTATGGATTATATAGGAGACCAAAGCTTTTTAATAAATAGTATAGTCATGCGGCTATACACTTTGAATATTTGAAGTGTATAGCCGTTCTTTTAAAAAATATTTAAAATGTATAGCCACGCGGCTATAGTCTTTGAATATATATTGGGATCCTGTTTTAAATAATAAAAAATTTACCCTGATTTTTGTTTATCGATAAGAGTAGTTTAGAGCGCTATCCATTACTATTAGGGCATTACCTGAGTCTTTATTATCCCCTTTTGATTTTTTACTTTTCCAGAGTTATTACATGTATAATTTTTTTTTAGTATTTTCCTATTGATTACTCGTATTATACATGTACGTACGTAATTTTCGTTTACCATACACGACTTAGAGACTCAGTAAAATACAAGTTTTTTTTTTATAAAAATGATCCAAATAGGGGTGGCCATTGTCCATATTGGATATGTTTCACCTCAAAACTACGATCGAACCAATTGCGACATAACGGTTAGTTCAGTTCAGTTTTGACAAAGTCATGAAGGAAACCGAATCAAACCAAATCAATTTAAGATGACTTGGGTTTAAGCCCTTTCTTTTTACATTTTTTCAACATTGTTGGCCCAATTATAACCAACAAATTCACAACTTGCTTCATACTTAAATCATCTTCTAGAGTATGAAACCATCCTCAAGCTCAATGTTCCATAAAACTTCAAATTTCAATAACTAATTAGCTCAATCCATATATAGTTATTACCTAATTAGAGTATTACACATGTAAAATGTAATATAAATAAATAAATATACACATAAACGGTCCGATTTGTTTTAGGCCGGTTTATAAAAGCTCAAAATCAAATTAAACTAAACCATATACAGTCCGGTTAAGTTTTTAAATTGTTTGACTTGTTCTTGGTCAAAACCAAACCAAATTGTACCAGTTTGGTTCGGCTGGATTGAAGCTTACTCCTAAGGCAAAGTATGTATATTATTATCATGAACCAACACAAGCCTACAACATTACCATCTCAAAATGTTAACTACACTAATTGCTATTAATAGTATCATTTGGTTTCAAGTACTTGCATTGATCTGCTATAAAAAAGATTTGCAGAGATTTGTTGGAACATTAACTCGTTTCCAGAAATCAATCAATGAATTTTTCAACCATCCCTTAAGTTTTTCTTTATTTGTTTGCTCAATGTTAGAACAGGAGAGGGGGCAATTAAACTAACACCACGCTGGTAACCACCCAAAGAGTTGGATAGAGATAAGAAATAGTTAAAACATAAAGGAGTGTAGGTACCAACTATGCATAAAAACCCAATAAAAAAAGCCCAAATATATGACTAAAAGATGGGCTTGTAGCCCAATTCTCCCACAGACTTAGGGTAAGTATTCAATTAAGATTTTAATAGATTGTTTTGAAGCTTAAAAGTACAGTTGTATTCAATTAGGATTTTTAAGTAATGAATTAAAGTTCAGTGGTATTCAATTAGGATTCATAAGTAATGAATTAAAGTCTTGGTATATTCAATTACTTACTAATTTTGAGGTATTTCATTAAATGTTGTATTGTGTGAGATTTTGAGGGGTTGATAATACCAAACCCCATTAAAAAAAAATCTCACCCTCCTATGCCTGATTCTTCTTTCATTTTCTTTTGAGAGTAGATGAACAGACACATTTGAGAAATTACTGATATCTTCTCTCTTCGTGCTTTTTGGATAAAATCTCTTCTCGTGTTTCTTCTCATAGCTGTGCATAATTGTTTTGACTAATTTGCTGAACTATCAGCCACACAAACATACGCCATAATAGCAACACATGCACACACCACTCACTTGAAAGCAACCAACCACAGCCAGCCACACTTCAGTTTTAAATCCTACCAAGCATGCGTAGATTAGAACAAGGGATGGGTTAATTCAACCATTGCAGAGCACACCAACAAGCATGCGTAGATTAGAACAAGAAATGAGTTATGTTTTTAGCTGTGCCTAATTTTTTTTAATTAACGATATTTTTTATGTTGAATTAACCCATGTTATTATATGGCTTCGATTTCATATGGAATCCTATAATAAATCTTTTGATTTGATTCTATAAGTTAAGTAAAATCATGTAATTACAATATATTAAAATCATAACTAAAATCTTGTAATTACACAAATCCTTCTGAAATTCATTACATTAAAATTATATAATTACAATCGATTAAAATTACAATTGAATATACCCTCCTAAGCCGAATGTCCAAGCCTCTTGGTCCTCTTCACTAAAGTCAGCGAGGGTTACCAAACAGATTTTAATCTTGCAAAGAATATGTGCTGATTTGATCACCAATGGAAGCAAAGAGAGGTGATCAAAGTCAAACCCCTTTGGCTCTGCTGCATACATTTCTTTCTAACACGGCTCATTCAGATGCACCCATTGATTTTTGCGATCCCTTACTGCACAAGTTTCTCCACTCCAAAAAAACAAACAATAAAACATGTTAATACGCCGCATCTGTGTAACAACAACATCCCTTGCTTTGATCTTCACCCATTGATTATTTTAATTAACTTTTCTTTCTTTCTTTGTTTTTTGGGTTCAAATTATTTTTATTAATTAATATTCTAAGGTGAAGCGTGCGGCTTCTTTGTGACATTGATAGCTTTAATAATGCATCTTCTTCTTAATCAAAGCTGGCAATTCTTGTGCTCTAAGATATGCCAGCTTATTGGATACCGTGTTCGATCACCTGCTCCTGCTCTGCCCTTCTGGGTCTCTTGGCTAAGGCCTAAGGGTCTGATTGTTTGCTTAGCAGAGAGTTTTCGATTTCGCCATTTCTCCTTTTCTAGAACCAAATAAGTTTATGCAGATGTATTAGCAGAAAGGATCACCATAAGTCAAAACTTAAACCACTTTATAATGTCTTTTGAAGAAAGGGTGGCACTTTTCAACTTTAAAACTAGCAATCTCTGTGGGAAGAAAGATTTAAAAAAATGAAATCAATGAGAATTAGGATTGTTTAATAGGGAGAGGTGTAAACGTGCCAATTAAAATTCAACTTATTATACTCTAGCCAGCTTTCAATTCTTCTTCTGCTCTGTTTCTTATGCAATCTTCATGAATTTGAGGGAGGTTTGAAAAATATAAAATGCCAAGTACATAGAATCTACAATCTACATCGATAAAGCCGCACTTATGATTAGAACAACCACACAAGTCGATGTGGGAGACTTTAAAAATTAATCCCACTTTCTTATTTTAAGCAATTAAGTCCTAAAATCCTGCATGAATTTAGCAGCTGGATTGAGCCACAAGTTTGCAGCTGAGTTCCCATTCATAATTCAGAGCACAAAAGCATATATATCTTAGCTGTTCACGCGTCTATTTTTAGTGCTTTATATTCCCCAATTCTCAATCTTCTCTCTCCCCTCATATCTACTTTGTGTGAAAGTGAGAGTTGGTTTTAAGATTTGGTAACATGGCTGTACATAGTGATCCTCATGCAGCTGAGGTTGCATCTGAAGCTATTCTAGAGAACGTGTGGGCGAGCTTTATCGGTGTGGATGGAGTGAAAGAAGAAGCAAAAAAGACAACAGAGTTGTCTAAACCCTGGAAAGAACTGCCTCCTCTTGATGGGAGAGAAGGGTCAATGGAAATTCTAGAAAGGCTACCAAGTCTAGGTAGGTGGATATCAATGGGAACCGAGGCCTGGGAAGAGCTTCTTGATAGTTGTGTTGTTCCTGGACACAATATGGAAGTGTCAAGCAATGTCAAGTTAGAAGGCAATGGGGCTACAAACTCAGAATTTGAAGCAAAGGTTGAGAAGAGAAGGGAGAAAGTGGAAATTATGAAGCACTACCGCGGAGTTAGGAGGCGGCCATGGGGTAAGTATGCAGCAGAAATTAGAGACTCAACAAGAAAAGGAGCTAGAGTTTGGCTTGGGACTTTTGAGACTGCAGAGGAGGCAGCTTTGGCTTATGACAAGGCTGCTTTGAGAATTAGAGGCTCAAAAGCCATTCTCAACTTCCCTCCTGAAACAGTTGCAAAGGCTATGGGTTTGGGTTGCTTCAACATCTGCTCATCCACAAATGTTTCAAATTCCCGGAAGAGAGCATTGAGGGAGTGGGAAGAAAGTGTTGAGGCAATGACTGATGGAAAACCTGCATTGAAAAGGAAGGCAAGCATGCAAAACATGTTGGGGGATGAATTTGATGTGTTTGAGTTCCAAGACCTGGGAAGTGATTATTTGGACAGTTTGCTGTCTTCTTTTTGACAAAAATCTTGTACATGAATGCTTCTGTCTCTAAACATTCTTTGTAGTTGCTAGTCAAGGAGATGCTGTATAAGGTTTTTTTTCTTTCAAACTAGCCTTAGAGGAAGAGTTAGCAAAACATCATATAAATCACCAAATTTCCCATGTATTTTGCAACATTAATCAACAAGATGCTAAGTTAAGGTTGCATGATTTGTTCAGATGGAGAGGGAGATAAAAAGAAAAAAGTTGGAAAATGATATATCAGAAAAGATTCTAAACAGAGACATAAAGGTTTCCATGTAATAGTTCAATTCAATTATTTGTCATATCTCTCTTTTAAAGAAGAGATGCATTGCCAAGTTCAAATTGACCATCTCTATCTCAAGTCTTATCTATTTTCACATGCTCAACCATCTTTTCATAATTAAAAGGAATAAAATAAAGGAAAGCCACCCACTATAAACCGACCTTAATTTTTTATAATTACTTTTTTTTAGTCTCCTGTTCAAGGTCAACCCTACTATACCTTCAACTTATCTAATTACTTTTTTTCCCCGTTTTTAATAAGAAATTTTTTAAATGTATTGTCAAGATGGAGGTTTTGGGTTCAACTTCTAATAGAATAGAACAAAAGGATTAAAAAAATTTAAAAAAAACAACTATGGGATTAGGTAGGACTTAATTAACCAAACTGGCAATTAATTGTATATCAATTAAACACGTAAAATATAGGCATTTTGCTAGTCTGGTCCCCCTAATAAACAAGGCCAAAAAGTTTATATATTGTATACCCACCACCAACCAAAGATTGGCCAGTTTGACAAGTATACCAGGTAAAGAATGACTGTCAAATGTGAACAGGTTGAAGATTGTTTGTGTTCCCATTCTGTGGAACCATATGCTTATTGGTTCTCATCAATTTCATCTTTTTCTCATGAAGTTAGTTTCCACAAACAGATTGCCTTCATTTCCAAAACCAGAAAATAAAAGATGGCATTAGCACAAAAATTCCAACTGATTCAATCTTTTAGGTCTTTCTTCTTCACCCATAACTCTGCATCTTTCTGGCCTTACTGGCCCTCTTATTAAGTACAATACATACCAATAAAATTCACTTCTTGCAGCAGTACATTTCTGTACCTCTTTTGTTCCTTTCGCAGTGAATTATATTTGTGTGTTTGTGAGTGTTGGCAAAGCAACAAAGCATTCACAAACAATGCAAAACTAATATACACAGGCTATGACAAGTAACTGGCTAATTAGAAAAAGAAAAAGAAAACTTACACACTTTCCAACACAGCTTCAGCTCTGGAACTTACTATATGAAATGAAATTTAATGTCCTAATGCTTGGTAGACAGAAATGAAAAAAGACAGAACCTTTCTAGATGATAGGACCCTGCATATTTTGTGCCTCCACATTACTTGTGTTGCTCTGAGATTCTGATCTTGGTGTCCCAATTGAAAGCAAGCTAGAGCTGCCACTTGAGTCTGAAGTTGTGCTATTACTATTTGAGCTGCTGGGTACACTAAAACTTGGCCTAACTCTATGAATCGAAGATGATGGCGAAGATGATGCAGCCACTACATCAGGTGGGAAATTAAGCAGGGCCTTAGTACCTCTCATTCTAAAAGCTGCTCGATCGTATGCCAAGGCAGCTTCTTCGGCTGTGCTAAATGTTCCTAGCCATACACGCGCACCGTGTCGCGCAGAGTCACGGATTTCAGCAGCATATTTGCCCCAAGGCCGGCGCCTCACGCCTCTATAGTGCTTCTTTCCAATGTTCTTATTAGAGGGTTCGAGGCCATTTGGTTGGTGGTTCATTTGGTGTCTTTGTGGCAAGAATGAGGGGTTGATAGCCCTGGCTTCATTTAGGACTTGGTATATGACCATGTCTTGTGAGTCATTCTCATTCAACGGTAGCTCATTTTGTGTGGAGGCTGAAACCATGGCTTCTTAGTTCTTCCTAAGTTTTCTTCTTCTTCTTCTTCTCCTCCCTTATAAGGAGCCTTTGAATTGGAAAAAGAAAAGCTTTGAAGATTGTGACATATGGCTCTAGACTTGTATTTAACTTTGGACTAAAATAGGGGACAAACGTGGGGTCAAAGAATTTTTATTGGCACGAGGGAGGTGATAGAAACCAACAAGGATAGAATTTGGACTAATTTTCCACCACTTGATTGTTAGGTGGTGAACGACTTTTGCCCTGGGCTTCCCTTGATAGTACCCATTCCCCAACTCCTATAATTCTTTTTTCTCCCAAAATAATCATACCAAGCATTAACTGAAAATGGAAAATTTTGAAATTCAGTGTCTTTTTTTGGTATAGGCTCTTCGGGTGATTTTGGGGTTAAAAGATCGATGCCCCAGAGACGGGTTGAAGAGGTGATATATTGCTAGACATTTTTAATACATCATTCTCTCAAAAGATTGCCTTCAGAATATAACTTTAATCTAAGATGTTCTAATGTGCGGATAAATGTTATTTATGTATCTGAAATTAAAAACATATTACAAGAGCAACGTATATAATTATTTTTCTATAAAAATAATTTGGCAATTCAGATGCAATGCAATGGAAAAGTATGGATTAGCTTCTTCACATGGTATGGGGTAATGGGTTGGTAAAGTCAACAAGGTGTGTGACTCTATGTAAAGAGTGCATTAAGACGTTTCTTGGTGGATTTGGGATGACCATAAAATTGGTCATATATATTATCCCATTTTTTTCAACTTTTTGTGCATATGACGTCATCACGGTCGTACATTATACTTTTCTAAGTTGGTAGGTCCATTTGAAATTGACCCTAATTCGATTCCTTGACTTTTTAACCATTTGTTGAAGAACGATGAAAAGACTTCAAATCAAAAGCAAGCAACAACAACAGAGTCCTAAAATTTTCGTGAACACTGAAGAAGATGGGGGATAATTAAAGACTAATAATAGCTCACGTGCGTTGAATAGAATGAACATGAAGACTAGGTTTGTTTTTTCTAGAGTAAAGCGATAATTGTATTCATAATTTAAGCACCAAGACCATCAGCTACAAGGGCATAAACTACCCAAAAAGGGTTAATACAAATGTGGAAGCACAATAACTATACAAAGAAATACACCACAAGGTATATCTTCACTAATAGTGCCATAATATACATTCGATTATACCAATAATTTAGAATTAGTTCATGAGTTACCTTCAATAATAGATGCACAAATTTTTCTTTTTGGTTTTTCAAATTGTTGGTAAACACGTCAAATCTAGGTTCGAACCTCTTATGTGTGAATCGACCTTGCACACACATAAGCTATGGAATATTTCTTGTTAATATGGGATCACATCCCAAAATCAAACCGATTGAAGATTAATGACTATTAAAGTTAAACAATAGAATAAAAAAATAATGATTAATATGAAGGAGACATTACCTTCAATAACTTTTCAATTAAAAATGAGTTGTGGATTGATCCACATGATCCTCGTAAGTAATGAGGATAAAATAATTTCACCAAAAAAGTATATAGATGTTATAACTGAAGGACTCACTTTGCATCTTTCATCGCCTTTCACTTTTCACTTGATTGAAGTGCTCTACATCTACAATCACAATAAACAAGTCTTAGTCAAGAAATTAGTAATAAAATAATTATTCATCACTCTCTCACTATTGTTACGAACTTTGCAAAATGTACATAATCATACTAAAAATGCATTCCTAAACAACAAGACATTTACCTTGACCAGTTTCGTAACTCTGGTGATTGTTGAAAGAGTATTGTTGAAAGCTATGGTGATTTTGAGCTTGGGTCATCCCCTGTCTTTGCATATGAATTGGCTGATGATGAAGAAGAAGATGATGATAAGGTACAAACCCAGCATCTTGTATTTGGGTGACAGCTCTCATGTGGCCCGGAAAACCCTCACTAAATTTTGGGCCAATCTGAGCTGCACCCACTTGCCCAAATTGTCTCTGAGAAGGGTCAAAAGCTACATGGCCTCTAATTTGCCCATATATGTTTGGCCCCATAGGAGAATTTGTTGCACAATCCAATCCTGCAATTCCTCTGCCTTGTCCTTGAAATCGCATAGGCCTTCCATTGCCTCCTTGAATTGTTGGGTCAAATGGCACTGATGGAGGACCAAATCCAATCACTCTTTGTGTCTCTTGTCTCCCTTGCCCTAATGCTTGTTGCCCCCCTTGTGAAATAGCTGCTGGCTGATAATTAGAACCTGTAACACAATTATTATCCACTAATCCCTTTCTCTCTGTGACCTCTTGCCCTTGTAACAGAGAACTATAAGTACCATTAGCAGGCCCATTTATTGCTAAATTTTGATTAGCATAACCATAAGTCATGTCACTACCATTATTGCTCCCTTGATCCAAGGCAATTGACTCTTGCTCCACTGTGGACGATGGCAAAGCCAAACAATCCTTTTCTTGTTCTTCTTCTTGTTCTTGTTGTTGTTGCAATGCGTCTCTAAGCAGTGCATTCTCTCTTTCTAATTGTCTATACTTACCTAGAGGTCCATTGACAGGGTCTTGCTTCCACATACAGGCTTCCCATATGAAAGACTCCGCAGCCCTACCCCTATGGTTCTTATCCTCTAGTTTTTTTAGCAACTTTGAGGTGTTGCTAACTCCGAAAATCTTGTGCACTGCTCTGAAAGCTTCTTCCTTCTCTGCTGTGAAGTATGGAGCCATCACACAATCATCGTCACACTTCTTCCTTTGGTGCCGGCACGCCGCGCAGGCATGCCGGCTGTTGAGCTCCACACCATTGCCGCTACCCATTGACATGTTTGTACAATATAAATCTATACAAGTATTAGTTTATCTATGAATTTATTATATTATACAAGGAGAAAAAATAAGAAGAAGAAGAACAAAGAAAAGCACTAAAAGATAAATACCAGGGTGAAGGTATATGGGGGAGGAAGAAGACGGATGAAGAGGGAGTTGTGGTGAAAGAATGAATCAAAGAAGGCAGTGGTGAAATTAGGTTAGGTTTTTATATTTTTACTTTAACCCAAAGTCTATCTCTGATTATGTTCCAAAAAATCTACCCATAATTAAATTAATTTATGCCCGCTTCCTATTACGTATTAACTGTAAGATTGCATGAAATCTTACCGACCACATTCCTTAGATATCAAGTTAATCATAGTCGTTGTTTGATCTATGATGCACATGTGATTTTGCAAAGATCGAACTAATCGTAATCATCGGTTATACTAACCTACAAATTTATTGATTTATGATCAACGGGGACTATCCTTGTGGACTAGGGTAAGTGATCCGCATCACATAGAATTGTATGTGAATGTATAATCATAATATCAGGATTTACTTACTGTAAAGGAGACAATGGGTATATTAATTAATTATTCTAGTCCAATTTTATTAGGTTGGTGTGATTACGTTTAACTTGTCATCGATCTTAGATTAAATAATCTAATAAAATTAACAATTATCTAAAAAGGATCTTCATATTCTTAAGTTTAAAATCATGAAAATAAATAAATATCAAAATTTTAATTATACACGTTTTGTGATACGCAACTCAGGCCTTCTAATCCCGAGATTAGCATAAAGCGGGCCTGCTTAGCTTGGTTAAGCCGAGACCAACCCAAGTACCAAAGGCTAGCTGCTACTAGTATTTGGGCTATTGAAACAGCCCAATTTCTAAATCCCTGTTTTTTAATTTTTAATTTTCTTGGTAAGTAAATAACAAATTGGTGTATGAGTTCATGTGACATTTTTAAAAAATTTCATGGGTACGTATATTCTCCAGTCACTTGGAACATATGTTAAAACTTCTTATAATACCAAAACATTTGTCTTCTTCAGCTCTATATTCCCAAACTATGAATATTAGCAGAATCATTGACATTCTTAGCTTAATATAATCTATTAATTTAATTTAACAACTCTAATTAATTAATGAGAGAAACTGCATCGATATGATGTTTTTCTGATCAATTTAAAATCTAATATTATTACTTACAGAATTTATTTTTATGTATTGCATGAATCTTTTCTCAAGATTAATTGTTTATTCTGATCTGAAAATAAAGATGCTGCTGCTGTGTGTACGTGGTGGGAATTGCAAAGATGAGTTCTTTACAATTCAAATTCTGACTATTTCTGTTGCTTTTTAGTATCCCAAAACAATAAAATGTAGTACGTACGACTCGTCCAAGAAGAAGAAATCTCCTTATCACCTCACCATTTAAAAACTATTTATGTAAAAAATCAATCAAAATCGAGATTAATCATCTATATCTATTGAAAGGAATAAATATTACGATTATGATATATATATATATGGTGAAGATTCATTAATCACAGCACATTGAAAGGAATATATATACTCAAAGGCCTAGGGTATATGATATCTAAGAACTGTCCGAAACTAGGTCAATGCAAAACTAATCAAATTTAGGTAGGTGCTCTTCAATTCCCAACGAGGGTGTATCCATGATTCGAGGATTAGTCATAAATAATTTTATTTATAAACTTTGTTATTAAAGTCTCTTCAATGGTCTTCCAAAGCGAGAATGTCCAGCCGCTTTCAGATAGATAATCCTATCTTATATCTAGTTGATTGTATTAATATGGCTAGGTAACTTCATATACTATCAATTTTATGGTTCGTAACATGATTACATCTCTCACATATATATGTACGGTTTATGTAAAATTACTTATTTATATACAGAATCTTACTTAAGTTTCATATAAATTTTATCTCTTTAAAAATGTGATCGAGCAAGTAAATATATACATTTCTGATTAAGTCTTGATATAGGACAGCACCCAAAGACATAATAAGGTCTCCAAAACTCCAAAAAGTTTCAAGCAACATTCGAATTCAAAGGCAATTTCACTCTCTCACTCCAAATTTTCTGTGCCAAACATATATTTTAAGCATGTTTTGATCTTCAAACTTGAAACAGACTTCAAATTGTACGTATATATGGATATATAATATGTTGGTGGTGGCATGGCATGTGCAACTAGTTGAAGCATTTAATTAAGCTTATCATGTTGTGTATTTACTACGTGCACGTTAGCATTTAGTGAAGGCTGTTGGCGCAATCTTTGCTAAGACACACATACCTATTTCATGTTGCAAATTATTAGACTAATACCCTATTTATTGTAATCATGTGCAAGTGCGACATTTTTAAAGGACTTACTCAGAAGCCTTTGCTTCCAATTGGGGTGGAAGGTGATGACTAACTGAGTGACTGAGTGGTATAAAGTTGGTAAATTATTAAATTGGGAAGTATTAACGGATACGAATGTGTGACCAGATTCACAGTCTACTGATAAAAGCGTTTTTCTGGTACATGAGTATGTTAATTTAGAACGATCATGTTTAGTTAATTGTTCTTAGGCCATGGTTCATATGAGCTGCAGGTTATGTGTGATGGCATGTTGTAATGATCATCGTGATGATATATATAATTGTCTAATGGCAAGTGAAGGACAAAGGCTCGACGATGGAGTTAATTGTTCCAAATCTGGTGCAGACAGATTGGTGAGAAGGAAAAAGCAATCTGATTGAAAAGGGAAAGCAAGAACACAAACATAGAAATTGAATCAATAAATACAATACACACGTACACATACATACAGTGGGAGCAGAAGTTGAAGTTCCAAAACCCAGCAGAGCCAAACTGCCAAAGATATATAATTCAAAGCGAGGGATGGGGCATTGGAAGCAGAGGATTCACCATAATTAAGCCAAAGTGCCAAAGCTGCTAGAAAACTAGTGTCCAGGTCCACTTCCAGTTGCTATAAATATGCGATGCCTTCTTCTTTCCTAGTTTCTGCATACTTTTCTGTCTGTCTCCCCCAAACACTTATATGCAGTCACACTCATACACACTCGCAGAGGCCGTGGTCCCATTTTGATCTAATGTCGTTATGGGCATGGGAAATATATAGATCAAAAGTGGTTTTGAATTTTCATTTTTGGGTCAGTCAAGTTGTTTTGGTTTGATGGTTAGGTTTTGCATGTATCCAACCATTTAGGGTTTTCGATTGAAATTCAAAAGGACTTGAAGCCTGAAACATTCTGCATATCATTCAATATACATGATATTTTAATAGGAAACATTCTAATTAGCTACTGCCATGGTCCATGGTCTAATTACCTACTACATATAATGTAGTCCCTTTCAGACATATATATCCACCTTCACTATTATCAACTTTGACAGCTCCCTTTCCCCTCCACCCTTCCAAAATCCAGACCATAGTTCCCCACTCAACTTCGCTAAACCCTCCGATAACTTTGAGCTTGTTGGGAACATAAAAATTTAAATTGTGTAAAGAACTTGCAACTCAAGTGGTTAAAAGCAGTTACCTCTGCACTCGAGGTTATGTATTCGAATTCCCTCTCACGCGCTTGTATTAAAAAAATAATCTGAATTATGCATTAATTTGAAGTCTAATTGCATCTTATTATAAGGAATTCTTAGTGTTTAATTGTCATATGTTTATCTAAAGACATTGGTAGATCAATATATTGACCCCACATTTCGGCATTATAATATGCTTGGTATTAATTGTTAATTACCACCACCCAAGTCCCAGGGGTCACAGAAGATAGCTTAGCCTTAGAAAAGGGGAGGTGTCACTAGTAAAAAAAATGGCAACAGTCATCATTATTTGGTGATATTTGTGGCCGCGACAATTAGTCACATTTTTTTGACTTTTTTTGGTGACTAAAAAGGCTTTTGGTCACATTTTTTGCGTTTTTTTAGTGATTAAAGCCTTTAGTAACCCTCACAACAGTCATTAAATGTTACCAAATAATGGTGACTGTTGCCTTTTTTTTGTAGTGTGTGGACATTGGCCAAAGAGGGATTTGGACTTTGTTATTTGAATAGTAACTGATGAGTTGGGAGTGCAACTTATTTCATACATAAATCATTTTCTAGAGTACGAAACTATCTTAAAGCTCAAAATGTCATAAAACTTTATATTTCACTAACTAATATAGCTCAATTCAAATATTCATATATAGTTATTAACTAATTAGAGTATTACACATGTAAAATAAAATATAAATAAATAAATATACACATAAACAGTCCGATTTGGTTTAGACCGATTTATAAAAGCTCAAAACCAAACCGAATCAAACCATATATGGTCTGGTTCGATTTTCAAATTATTTGACTTTTTCTTAGTTAAAACCAAACCAAATCGGTAATTATGGTTTGGTTCATCCAGTTTCATCGGTTCAGCTGGATTGATGCCCACAGTGGCGGAGCTAGGATTCTTAGCATGGAGGGGCCAAAATTTTAAAATCACTTCCACATAGATTTTTTTATCTTCAATTGGGAGGGCCATCACTAATCTAATTACAGTAATTGTATTGCTATAACATATATTTTATAATATATTACATGGGGGGGCCAGAGCCATGGCAGGCCTGGCTATGGCTCCGCCCCTGCATGCACATAATATATATCGAACACCCTTCCATATTTTTTTATATGGAATTTTGATTCAAAATTCCAGTGTAATTACCCAATATTAAACATCAGACTATAATAAATGCGTGCTCTTGATGTTCACAGATGGATCGAGTTCTCAATACACTTATAAAACAACTCAGTCCCCAACAAAATTAAAATCACTCCAATTCAGCAAATCGAGTTAGGATTGAGTAATTTTCTCCCTCAACATGCTACCTATCTTTTTGCCTGTTTCACTGCCTAACTCTCGACAAACAAATGGCAGCACAGACTTAATATTGCATTTAATCGTGTAGACCAAAGTGGGAACCCTAATCTCTGCATATTTTAGGAATTTGATTAATTACCACTAAAATTAATTCTTAAGTAGTTTTATCTTATCTTCGTCCCATTCATATTTCAACACGAGCCAGGACTGGAGGTCAACTCTATATCTCTATCCCGTGGGTCCGTTGCCTGAGATCTTTGTCAACTTTATTGCCTACCATACCAGATACCACAGTCAAGTCTACAAATAAGATGTTGCGCATGGGATTAAAAAGTAAATCCTAGCCAATCAGGGAAGTGGTCTTGTTTAATTAATTGTTAAGTCAAAGTTGAATTATCTAACTCAAACTTAATTGATAGGTAGTTAAGAGGTTCTTAATGGGTAAGGTTTAGAATGTCTCCCGATGTGAGATTTTATGTTCTCAACACACTCTTTACTCCCACATGTGAATTGTGCTAACCTAAATGGATGAATTTGTTAAATTAAAGTATATGAAATATGTGATGATCATCTATTTTAAGTTGAAATATCTAACTCAAAATCAAATTCGCAATGAACATGTCATGTATTATAAAAATAAAGATGAATTAATTAGCAGTGTTCAATTTTTCTTTTTATAAAGAAATGATATTTACATGCATTCATGTAAATATTACTCAAATTGCCTTTTAGCTTTTCTAGGCAGCATAAGCAAAATGATTGTTGAGGAAGAAGTTTTGTGATCAGTCGACTGACCCATCAGCTGATGAAAGCTATCTATCTACTATCAAAACTAAAAGCAGAAAGAGCAGGGCAAGCACCATTGTCACGTCCCACAACTATAACCTTCCATTGCCTCCAGCAAATTTCTTTTTTTGAATTTGAACTGCCACTTCTACTGTATCTGTATGTGTTGCGTGCAAGCTTTTCAAGTGTCGTGTCGTTTCATCCTATACGACGAGATAAATCAAAGTGCTTCATCTCCTCCTTGAAGAAATTAGAAGAACCTATAGGAAGAAGAACCTCTAGTATAATAAATAAATGCCCTCGAGTCAATCCAAACTTTTGCTCAAAATAAACCCAAATATGAAATATGCAATTACTCTACCACGACTCCCACCACCGCTTTCCAATTAAACCCTACAAATTACATGCCCCATGGCCTTGGCCTTGACTTTCAAACCATCTCCCCCACCCCTACATTGCCCCTATTTATTCCTCTACAACAAACTTCTCCATTAGAATAATCCCAAAAATCTCACTTCATCTCTCCCTCACCATTAATATCCACTCACTGCAAGCGAACCCCAAACTGACCACTCTCTTTACAAATCTGAAAAGAAAATTTGTATATGAAAGAGAAGGAGACAAACAGATCAGAACAACCCTCACTTTTCTATACCTCTCTCTCTCTCTCTCACCTTTGCATTAAGAGCTTGGTCTGTCATCTCTGATGAAGATTCTAATTAAGCCCCCAGCAGGTATTCTTTTCTATGTTCCCTTTGCTTCTCGTCCGGGGGGGAATTGGGTTGTACTTTGAGTATTGAGTAGAGAACAAGCATTCCATTCCATTTCATTTCATCATCAATATATTAAAGCAAAAGCTCTCTAAAAAAGAAGAGGGATGGGTTGAGACTACTCTCTCTTTTAATTTCTTCAGTACACACCCTACCTTTTTATTTATTTCCATTTCCTTTCTTGTTTATCTTTCTCGCAGGCGATTCCTGTTGTGGGTTTTGCCCATTTTATACATCAAATTAAATTTTCTTTATATATATAATTTCTTTCTCATCATCAATAGACATGTTCCATTTTTATAATTTCTTTGGGAGATGGGAAGGACTGGTGTTGATTAATTAAATGCAAAATATATTCAACTCACACAGGAGAAAGGAGTAGGTGATGATGAGACTATAAGAAGTGATGTTATGCTGGTCTAGAGAGGATATATCCATCCAGTAGTGCCAGAAAAACAAAACAAGAGCTAGCCTTTGCAGCAAAAAGGGTTTCTCTTTTGGCTGGCTATAGCTATAGCTCCTTTAATATCTACTAGCTCTCTCTCTCTCTCTCTGTCTTTGTATCCCTTTGGTCATCATCATCATCATGGCTTCATCAAACAGACACTGGCCTAGCATGTTCAAGTCCAAGCCTGCAAACTGCAGCACCCACCACCAATGGCAGCATGACATCAACCCTTCTCTCGTTTCAAACGGATGCCACCGACCCTCTTACTCCTCAGGTAACCGTCCTCAACACTCATTTATACCAAACCCTTTCCAATTGGTATTAATTTCAAAGAAAATCCTTTAGTTTTGCTTATTTGTTATCTAGGTTACAAATTCATATACATTTAATCTTATGTGCAAGTAGATGTTTGATTTTAATTATGTGAATGCAACAGTCGCTGGGTGTGAAGAAAGAAGTCCGGAGCCAAAGCCTAGATGGAACCCAAAACCAGAGCAAATTCGCATCCTCGAAGCCATCTTCAACTCTGGGATGGTGAACCCTCCGAGGGATGAGATTAGGAAGATCAGGGCTCAGCTGCAAGAGTATGGCCAAGTTGGGGACGCCAACGTTTTCTACTGGTTCCAGAACAGGAAATCAAGAAGCAAGCATAAGCTTCGCCACCTCCACAACTCATCCAAACAACAAACCCATCCCCACACCCACCTTCCTCTCACCACACCCGTCTCCACAAGCACTCTCAACATCATCAATGCTGCTGCACCTTCTTCCTCCTCATCCTCCTCTGAAAAATCATCTCCCAAATCAGCACCAAACAACAAGGCCTTCTCCATGGGGTTCTCCAACGCTGCTCATGACGTTTCAATTAACTCTCCAACTGCTTCTGTGAACCAGCAGAGCAGCTTCTTTCAGCCTCATCAACAGCATCACAGTGAGGTCTTGCCCGAACCCTTCTTTTTTCCAATGCATCCGAATCCGAATTGCAGTTTCACACAAGGGTTTTGCTTCTCTGAGCTGTCTAATGTGGTTGATGTTCCCAACCATGGAACTCATGAGCAAACTAATAACACTGGGCCTTGCACAAGCCTGTTGCTGAGTGAGATCATGAGCCATGGGGCAGCAATGTCAAGGAAAGAATACCATCAAGAAGATGAGATGAAGGCCATGAACATGAAGAACATGGACCCACACCACCTCAATTACAGTCTCAATGTCACCACCACATCTCCAACTAGCCATACTAATATGGTTGCTTCTCACACCACTGGCCCCACTACTAGTGTTGCTGTTCCATCCCCCATGATTCACAACATTCAAGGTAAAAACAACAATTTACTCAAATTTCACTTCATATTCTGTTCATTTAAATCTACATTTACCCATATCTCGCATAAGAAAATTGACAATGTGGGATGAGCTTCTTGTTGATTATACCAAGTTCATATTAAGTACGAAACAAGGGTAGTTTAGTCTTTTGAAGCAATGGATCGAGCTATATATAGCTAGCTAGGTTTTGCATTTGACATAAATATTTTGATATGAAATGAGATAAGATGAGATGGTACTTTAGATGGAAGGACGTGTGCATGGGTTCGATTGACTGCTCTGGTCTGTTCTGCTGGGTTCGGGTCGGGGTCGGGTTTGGGTTTGAAAGGACAGTGGTCACATTCCATACATACACTGTACATATTTGATGAGAGAGGTTGATAGAAGATGATGAAACTAGTGTAGTCGGTTGGTGATAGCTATACTGTGTGAGTGACTATGTGTGGTAATGAACAGGTGGTGTTGGGGAAGCGGGTGCAATGGGCGCGGGAGGTGCGGAGAAATCAACGGTGTTCATAAACGACGTCGCATTCGAGGTGGGTGCGGGTCCCTTCAACTTGCGTGAGGCTTTCGGGGATGACGCCGTCCTCATTCACTCCTCTGGTCACCCCGTTCTCACCAATGAGTGGGGTCTCACCCTCCACTCTCTCCACCACGGCGCTTTCTATTACCTCGTAATTAATTTTAATTCATTTCATTTCTATTAATTACACTTTTTGAATAGCTTTAATTACCCTCTTATTTTCTTCTTATTCGATAACATTGCAGATTTAGAAGAGTGGAAGCAAGCAAGCAAGCTAGAAGAGGCGGGCTCTGGTTTCTGCGTTGTCCTTTCTCCATATATGTGTCTTCTCTAATTAGCGCTCGCTAGGGTTTACTGTATTAGCTAGGGCTTCCATCCGTTAATTAGTGGGTGTCTAGAGTAATTTCAAAGTTTGTGTGGACCTACATATGTATTATTATTATTTTATCTGTTTCTGGTTTAAGTATTATATATAAATATATTTACCTGTGGCATATGGATGTGGTTTTTGTTGTTGTTTCTTTTCGAAGGCCGGTTTATAACCACATCGTGCTCATGTGCAGAGGTAAATGCAGGTAACTCATTGCAAGCATTTTTGTTAAACTGCTTCAAATATAAATTATGGGTGATGCTTTCCCAATTCATTCGTATCTTTATTATGGATTCATCGAGATTCATAAATGTGGTATAACTAGAATTTTTGGTATATAAATATGTACATTAATTGGAATAGATATCCCAAAATGGAAAGAAATTTATATGGTACATAGGAAGCAATATAGGAAGAGATCGACAAAAAAATTTCTTGGTTGCATGAAAATATTTAGGAACAACATTCACCTAGCTAACATCGTGCTCTGGTGTGCACTGTAATTTGCCAAATTTTATTACTTTTGATGCATTATTTTGTCCATATATACACACATCATAAATTAGGGCATTCGAGTGGACCCACATACACACATATATGCCATATACCTGATTTGATAGAAGGTGTATATAGAAACTGAGCAGGGTGCCTTTCAGTTTCAGCAATATTTGATAAGATAGACCATTAGAAAAAAAACGTACCTTGCTTGGACAAATCAGAGAGCCTGACCAGAAACGGAAAGGTGTTAATGTTTGACGAACACCCGGCATACAGTGCGCACTTGGTTTTTTAACCTGATCATCATCATCAGATCAGATCAGATAACATCAGCCAGTCAGTCACTATGCTATGCTTGCAGTTGGTGATCATCAGAAGGGAAGGGAAAAATTGAGAGAGAGAGAGAGGCAGGGAGGCAGGGAGTGGTTATTGACGAGGAGGGGGTGGGAGGGTCAACTTAGTTGAGTGGTGCAGATTTGTAACGTGTAAGTTGCAATCTGGTGCCCAACAGTTATTTCTGTGGATTTGATTGAGTGATTTTGATATATCGAAGAAAACAAGACTTGGTTGCCCTACCAAAATTCCTTCTCTATAGCTACCTAAGCTACACTATATGCTCTACTGTATTTTGCATGAACTATCTCACGTATGATACTCTCTCTCTCTCTCTCTCTCTCTCACTCACGAGGTGCAGGGTGGAAAAGAAGCATGGTCGTGGAAGATATTTGATTTGAGGTGTGCTTTGTAAATCAATATGTATCTGACGGTTCGTTTTGTGGGATGGTTGGTTGGTGGGGCAAACTATAAAGTCCACGTGGCATGTTCACAGTGGTTGATGATCATCAGATCAGATCATATGCGTCTACCCCTGCAATAATCTGCAATCTGCATATGCCCCACGAGTGGATTAGGTGAAGTGTGAAGACTGGAGTGAACAGTCACCTAGCTTGATGGGATAGTTCTTGTTCTTGCTCCACTTATGTGATTTGTACGTTTTTGTTCTTCATGTATATGTTATTTAATTTGGAAATTGATGTGAAAGGACAAAGGCGAGACCCTTTCATTATTTATTTAGGTTGGTAACTTTTATATGTAGCATTTTAGTTTGTATATCATTTGAGGAGAGCTTGTTGGTCTAGCTCTTCTATTATTCTTGAAGACAATATGGGCCTCATTGTATCAACCCATTAAAAGGTTACAAGCAATTCATGAGGCAGTCCATCAAACAGGGCCATTTATAGTCTCTATGGGCTCATCATCGGCATGCATATGCATATAGAATTTTATAGTGAGAGTCTTATCTCTTCATCATTGGATCAAATTGGTTAGCCGTTTGATCCAACGTTTAAGAGTATGTCCCAATGTCTCAAATATATAAGAAATCTATAGGTGTATAGAATGACTCCTCAAATATATGCGTAAGCTTGTGAGGTATAACTCAGTTAGTTGAATTCTTTCATCTCTATTCATGTTGGCAGAGGTTCAGAACCCCAAAACACCCATACAAAATTGGATGACGTATGACTAGCCATACAAAATACAATTTATATAAATTTGAAATTTTTATGATAAACCTCAAATCAATCAAGTGGGTTTTTGAAAAGCAACAAACTTTTTTTGTTTTGTCTGATCTCAGAAAGCAAAAGCCAGTAGGTTTCTCAATTTGATATCGTCTTTCAAATTTCAAACAAACAGATTTCACAGGTGTTATGGTAAAAGTTGGAGTCTTGCTATTCTTCCTTGTAGAACTTATTTGGCTTTTAGTTGTAGTCATAAGAGCTTTGACCTTCGCTGCTCTTTCCTGTTTTAAATAAAAGAAACAAAATTCCAAATATACGGTATTGAATCCAATAATAAAAGTTTGTATTTCCACAAGAATTCGGGTGCTTTTTGTCAATTTTCTTTGCTGTGAGACCAAAAGGGAAAAAGGTTAAGAAATTTATTTGGGACCGGAGTCTTTAATCATAACCACAATTTTGCCAACTAAGAAAACCCCACAATTCCAGCTTGCTTGCTGTCTTCAACCTCCCTTTTGCTATTTCTCTCAAAATACAAAATCAAACAAAACCCATTCACCACCACCATAACTCACATACAGACGTAGACCGCCATGCTTCTTAATATTTATACAACATAATTCCAAAACCCATTTACCCATCAATCCAACTTGTTTGATTTCTCTCAGAAACAAAGAAAAAGACAAACACAAGAACAAAGAGAAGACAAAAAAATTCACCAGGTAAAAACTATAATAAATTTTCTGCAACGAGATGGGGGCGTACAGAGCAGACGACGATTATGATTACTTGTTCAAGGTGGTTTTGATCGGTGACTCCGGGGTCGGAAAATCGAACCTTTTGTCCAGGTTCACGAGGAACGAGTTCAGCCTTGAATCAAAGTCCACCATTGGCGTCGAGTTCGCTACCAGAAGCATTCGGGTCGATGATAAGGTCGTCAAGGCTCAGATTTGGGACACCGCCGGCCAAGAAAGGTTTGGATCCACATTCTCTGTTTCTTTTAAATTTTGGGTTTTTTTGGATCTTGGAATCGCATTTTCATTTCTTTTTCTGGGTTCTCTTGGCTGCCTGAGAAATTTAGCTACATGGGTATTATACAGATGTGATTATCTAAGTCTGGATCGGAAAAGGATCATTTTTCATGCCTCTGTTTGGTTAATGTGTATTCTTTGACCCTTTGTTTGTTTGCTTAGAATGCTGAGGAAGAAAACATGAAATTGCAAATGTAATTCTCTTATTGAACTTCTGAAAAACTGACTGGTTAGTGGACTTTGTTTATAATGTTAAGCTGAAATTCTATACAGTTTCTGGCCTTTTAACATTTTTTTTCTTTGCTGATTTAGCTCTGGCGCATTTTGTAGTGTTCTATAAGTAATTAGGTGCCTTTTTTCACTCTGCTATAGTTTTTAGGATGTGGCACAGTTTGACGACCTTTCAGCAACTGCATTTTCAGATAGCTATGTTCTTTCTCTAACTTCAAACTAAATCCGAAGTTGTTATGTCATTAATTCTGTTATTAAACCATCATAATCATACATGTTCGAACATTTTGTCATTCTTTCGATTTCGAAGTGGCATGTTGTTTCATTTGATAGATCAAATGACTTAATACCCCATTGCAACTCCGTGAAAAGACACCTTAGCATTCTTCCAGTCCTCTATGTCTATTGGTGCTGTGTAAACTAATTCCTGGCAATAACGGTAATGAATCAGAATGCATCTTGTTTTGAAGCTCTGAAATGTCTAATAACAAGGAAATGCTGCAACAATAAATGGAAAAGAAGGGTCTCCTACAAATCTAGCAAATGATAGGGATGGTTTGTAAATATCCATCTCACTTTTCCTTTTCTTTTGTTTAAGGTATCGTGCAATCACAAGTGCGTACTATCGAGGTGCCGTTGGTGCTTTACTAGTCTATGATGTTACTCGTCATGTTACATTTGAGAATGTGGAAAGATGGCTGAAGGAGCTAAGGGATCATACAGATGCCAACATCGTGATCATGCTAGTCGGAAACAAGGGAGATCTGCGTCACCTGCGAGCTGTTTCCACCGAGGATGCTAAGGCTTTTGCTGAACGAGAGAACACATTTTTCATGGAAACGTCTGCCCTCGAGTCAATGAACGTCGACAATGCTTTCACTGAAGTGCTGACCCAGATCTATCGTGTTGTGAGCAGGAAGGCCCTTGACATTGGGGATGATCCAGCAGCCTTGCCCAAAGGACAGACGATCAACGTTGGGGGCAAGGATGATGTATCAGCTGTGAAGCAAGTTGGATGCTGCTCTGCTTAAATTTGGAGGAATGGTTCAAGTGGCATTCAAGGTTCTATCCCGAGGTCATGTCTATACAGAGGTTGACCTGACTCGACGAAATTGCTTTCTGAACAGAATATGAACTCTTTGAAACATTATGCTTTGGATACTCGAAAGCTTCCCTATGTTAGCCAAAACTTTAGGATGTTAAGAATATGTTACTGTTCTTTCCTTTGATTCAATTTGAACTACTTGCTTCCCCTTGTGTATTATTATCCTTCCTCGGTTGAGTTTTATATAAAGTGCGGTTGTTTGATCTAAAATTGAGCAAAGTGATACTATTTTTGTTGTTCGTCAAAGCTCCATGAGCAGACTAGATAACCTTTGAACAAGCTTCATATGGCATTGATTAGAAATTCCATGCACAATGATAGATTTTGTATCGAAATTGTCGATAAAGCGATAACATGTGTGTGTTTTATTGAGTCCACTGGGTTTATCTTTTGGTTCAGAAAGATTAGAACTCTAATTACAACAAACTAAAACTGACACCAAACTGGTGTCGTAAACATTTATCAATTATCACCTGCTTAACCATCGTCAAATGAAATGGTTCACACAATATTATATAATTCACAGCCCTAAATTATCTAGTAACATTCTCCAGGATGCTCAAGCCACATTGATAAACCCTGTTTTCAACACTGCAAGGTTGGCGCTGTACAGAAAGTTAAGAGTCTTGACACCGGTGAACCGAACCAGCTTGTCCTCCCTCCCTAAACCCTAGAGATGTGGCATCTGCATTCATCAGTAGATAGCGAATCAGCAACACAACAAGATCATATGTATGGAAAA